GCTGGTGTAGCTCAGTGAACTGAGCTCTGGACTGTGAACCAAAGGGTCGCTGGTTTGATTCCTAGTCAGGCCAAATGCTTGGGTTGTGGGCCAGGTCCCCAGCATGGGGGCATGCAAGAGGCAACCACACATGATGTTTCTGTCCCTCTCTTTCTCCTTCCCTTCCCCTCTCTGTAAAAATAAATAAACAAAATCTTTAAAAAAAATAAAATCATGCAGACCTGGGTTCTGACCTCAGCTTCTCCACTTAATACCTAAGTGACAAATACGATGGCAATTGGGGTGCTCCCTTCAAGAAAGAACTGATCACTGGGAAGAGTGCATTTGGCTGACAGTCCCCAGGTGTAATACCTGCAACTACTATTTATTTGGATTGAGGTTGTGTTCTTTCTGGGCAGCCCCCAACCAACGACTAAGCATGGTGGTGGCAGCAGGGTAAAGTCATGGTCATTTCCACCCAATCTGGGACTGCTCCAAAGGCCATCTTAAAAAAAAAAAATCTGAGACCAGCCCTGGCCAGCTCAGTTGGTTAGAGCATTGTCCCTTACACCAAAAGACTGGGTTCAATCCCTGGTCAGGGCACATACCTAGGTTACTGGTTCAATCCCTGGTCATGGTGCATACAGGAGGCAACTAATCTCTCTCTATCTCTCTCCGCCTTCTTCTCTCTCTGTAAGCTCAATAAATATAACCTCTGGTGAAGATTTTTTTTTTAAATTAGCCCTGGCCAGTGTGGCTCAGTGGATTGAGTGCTGGCCTGCAAACCAAATGGTTGCTGGTTTGATTCCAGGTCAGGGCACACACCTGGGTTGCTGGCCAAGAGGCAACCCATCAATGTTTCTCTCACACATTGATGTTTGTCTACCTCTCTTTGTTTCTCCCTTCCACTGTCTCTAAAAAGAAATAAATAAAAATCTTTAAAAAAAAAATTGAGACCAGCCCTGGATGGATAGCTCAGTTGGTTGGAGCATCGCCCCAGAAATGCCAACATTGCCGGTTCCATTCCCAGTCAGGGCCCGTTCAAGAAGCAATCAATGAGTGTGTAAATAAGTGGAACAACAAATCAATGTTGCTGTCTCTCACTCTTTTTCTGCCTCTCAAATCAATACATAAAAACTTAAAGAATAAAATTGGGACCACATGCCCATAACACCAAATTCACCATGTCGACCCTTTGAAGGTGTATAACTTAGTGGCCTTTCGCACAGTCAGACTCACTGTTGTGCAACCACCCGTCACCTCTATCTCGTTCTAAAACTGTTCTATCTCCCCAGAGGAAGTGATTAAGCAATCACAGCCCACATCCCCCAGCCCCTGGCAGCCACCAACCTACTTTCTGTTTCCTTGGACTTGTTTATGTGGGAAATCTTCGCTTCATCTGCCCACTGGGTTGGGTGGGCATTCTCAGGGCTGGGTGGGCATTCTCAGGGCTGAGTCATGGGCTGAAGCTCTTCCCACCCAGGTGTTCCTTCCTTATCTCCTCTCATAGGTGGCGGTCCGACATCCTAGCCCTGAGGCTTTCACTGCCTATTCCTCTCCGCTTCATCTCTCACTGGCATCATTCCCAATGAATTCTTAGCATTTCTGACACTGTGGCCCTTTGTGCTTCCTGGAGGACTTAATGACACAGCAAGACTGGGAAGTCCAGCCATCTAGGCTGGACCAGCCCAACCTCTAGGCCCTCAGGTGGCTCTTTAGCCATAATCAGTGTCACCCAGAGGACCCAAGGATGGCTATTCCTGCTTTACATGGCATTTCCCGTAGGCCAGGCGCAGGGGGAAGTTGTCACGTGGACTCGCTGTGGAACCAGCAGATAGCAAAACCGTGATCCCTGGACGAGCGGACATCCCCTGTCCACACACAGCCCCACTCTTGGAAAAAACAGCCCCCACCCCCAACCGGAAGTGCTTTCCTAAGCTCGGAACTGCCACTTCATCTCGCCCAGAGGAAGACCACAGCCTTTTCCTTGAAGCTGAGCCAGGCCAGTGGTATGTGGAAGGATCCAAAAGAGGCCAGGCCCCCAGTAGACAGTGGGAGCAAGTGGACAGTGGGTAGATCCCAGTTTGCAAAATGAACCGGGCCCATCAGGCCAAAGCCCCTCCAGAGAAGGAGGAGTTGGGGAGGAAGAGAGTTGGCGCTGGGGCTGGGTCGGGGGAGGAGGATACCCGAGGGTGGAGGCGTGGGAGGGGAACTTGCTAGAGCTTCACACCTCCAGGACACTCTTTGTCTGTTGTTCCCTGCTGTGTCTCAGGGTCTGGAACAAGGCTAGCACACAGTGGGTCTTCGGTCCACACACAGACACACACAAAGACAAAACCCAGGAGATTTTATCCTGTTCAGTCACCAGCTGCTAAAAAAACACCCCTTAGAAGGAAAAAGTCCCATATTGAGCAATTACTATGTGCCAGGCAGGCATCCAAGGCAGACCACGTCCTTTTTTTTTTTTACTTGACCCCCAGATAAACACACTCTAACAATAGCTACTTCTTAAACGCACATCTGTGTCAGACACTGTTCTGAGCATGTTATACGGATCGGCTCCTCCATTCTACCCCATGGCCCTCTCAGGCAGTGACTCTTGTTATCCCCATTTCACAGATGAGGAAACCAAGGCACAGACAGAGCAGGCTGCTTGCCCCAGCTCATACTGCCGGTGCGAGGCAGAGGCTGAGCGGCAAAGCCAGGCAGTCTGGCCCCACCCCAAGTAACGTTATGCACTGTCTTCCAAAAACGTATTTTAGAGAAGGGGAAGGGAGGAAGAGAGGGACAGGAATGTTGATGTTGAGAGGGAGAGAGACAGAGAGAGAGAGAGAGAGAGAGAGAGAGAGAGAGAGAGAGAGAAAGAGAGAGACATTGAGTGCCCCGAACAGGGCAGAGCACAGCCTACAACCCAGGCTTCTGCCTTGACTAGGAATCAAACCAGTGACCTTTCGATTTGTGGGAAGATGCCCAAACAACTGAGCCAGGCTGGCCAGGGATACACTCTGTCTTTAAAGATGGAAGGAGCTGAAGCCTCCTGCCCAGGGGGACTGTGGGAGGCAGAGCACTGGTTCCCCAAAGATGTCCACATCCCAAAGTCTGGGACCTGTGGCCCTGGCATCTCATGTGGCAAAAGAGACTTTGCAGATGTGATTCCGTTAAGACCCTATTATGTGGGTGAGCCCAATTTCATTGTAGGGTCCTTAGCAGTGAAAGAGGGGGTCACTATCAGAGGAGGGGTTGTGCCAACAGAGGCAGATGTCCGAGGGAGGCACTCTGCACTCAGAGGAAGGGGCCACACACTGAGGGACAGGGGCACCTAGAAGCTGGAAAAGGCCAGCAGTGTTTGATTCTCACCTGGAACCTCCAGGAGGGACCAGCCCAGCGACAGTTGACCTCTTCATTTCAGCCCCTAAGGCCCATTTCAGACTGTGACCTCCAGCCCTGTGAGCTGACAAATAAGTGTTGTTTTTAAAGATTTTCTTTTCTTTTTCTGGAGAGAGGGGAGGGGAGAGAGAAAGAGAGGGAGAAACATCAGTGTGAGGTTGCCTCTCACATGCCCCCCTACTGGGGACCTGGCCTGCAACCTAGACATGTGCCCTGACCAGGAATTGAACCAGTGACCCTTTAGTTCCCAGGTCAGTGCTCAATCCACTGAGCCACACCAGTCAGGGCTCAATGTATATTGTTTTAAGCCACTAAGTTTGTGGTGCGTTGTTACAGTAGCTCTTTATGGTGATTGAGCTCTTTGGGTCCTGGTTCAGTTCTGCTAGTGGGCCCCACACTCAGTAACCCAGCAGATAAAGGCACTGGCCCCTTATGGGTCAGGTTTTGGAAGCCACCTGGACTTTACTGGAAAGCCTTCCTGCAGTTTGCAAACTCACGTACATCTTCTCCTGACCTTCCTCTACAACCACGTGCACACTGGCCACCATTGCTTGTCAGCCCCTTCTTCTTCTGGGTGCCACCATGCCCTGTTTCATCTTGGTTGCAGCTGCTGGTTGGATTCAAGTGCATCTGCCCTGGAGCCTGGGAGCCCACTGAGGGCAGAGGTGAGATCTCACTCTTGGCTGATCCCAGAAATGTGTGTAGTGCCCATTTATCTCTGTTTCTCTGTTTCCTCATCTTCACTCTCAAGGAGGCTGAGAGCCTGAAGTCTTGGATGCAGGGAGCCCTGGAAATCCTGCTGCACAGAGGAAGAGAAGCTGGGCTTCAGACGCCTGTGTCCCCAAAAGAGGTGGGTTCAATGGAATATTACTCAGCCCTGAACAGGGACAGGGCACTGACATGTGCTACAACCCGATGAACCTTGGAGACATGATGCTGAGTAAGAGAAGCCAGACACAAAAGGCCAGAGTGTATGACTCCATCCCTATGAAATGACCAGAGTGGACAAAGCCGCAGACACAGAGAGCAGCTGAGGTGTGGTCAGGGGCCAGGGAAGGAGCAGTGGGGAGGGGCAGTGTTTAATGGGTGCCAAGTTTCCTTCTGAGGAGACGAAAAAGCTCTGGGATTAGACAGGAGTTTGCAGAGGCACAACATTGTGAACCTGCTGAACACCACTGACTTGCATATTTTTAAGTAGTTAATTTTACATTTTGTGAATTTTGCTTCAATTAAAAAAAAACAGGCAGGGTACTGAGGGAGGGGACACCCCTTGGGGGCCTGGACCCCCAGGTCTGAGGGAGGAGGGGCTGAGGGCCTGGACCCCTGGGTCTGAGGGAGGAGGGGCTGGGAGCCTGGACTCCTGGGTCTGAGGGAGGAGGGGCGGGGGACCTTGGCTCATGGGTTTGAGGAAGCAGGTGGAGACTGGGGCCGAAAAGCCCCAGTACCCGGGGCGGGGAGCCGGAAAGTGGAGGACTGCCATGGGAGAGAACATAAATGGTTCTGCTGGAGGAAACGGTTTCTGGGAAGGCTGTCAGATGGAGATGTCATCGCCAAGGTCTCCCTCCCTCCCACCCACGCCTGCCCTGCTAGCTGGGGAACTCAGACCTAATCTCAGATCTACTAGGTCTGAGAAAGAGAGGAAGGGAGAGCACAGTGAGGGGACCGCAAGTTGCGGGAGGAGGCGGAGTCGCCGGGGGCCCCACACCCAGCAGCCTGAACAGAAAGTGCAGTCAGAAAGGGGGTGGGCCTGCAGGCTTGCCTGTTCAACCCGAGGAGGTAGGAGCTGGGAATGTCGATATCTGGGGGCTAGCAAGGAGTGTGTGTGTTCTAGAAGGGCCTGGGGGCTTGGATTCCTGGGTCCCCCGAGGAGGAAGCCTGGAGAAAGCTGGAGGCTCTGATTTGTGGGTCCTGGGGAGGATAAGTGCTGGGGGTTAGCACGTTGAACCTATAAAGTGAGAGGAAGGAAGTTGGGGACCCATGAACTAAGGTGCTGCCTGGTTCCGAGCAGACCAGGAAGTGGAAGTTCGGGGGTGAGGTCCCTGTAAAGTGGTAGTCAGACGGTTGGTGCTTACTGTCCTTCAGGTGTGCAGTCCTGGACTTTGGCTCTTCAGAAAGCTTTTGCCCGCCCCAACCCCACCCCATCTCCCAGCATTTCGTCTCCGAACCTCTCACACAGCTGCCGTCAGCCCAGTCCTGGGACTAAGAGAGTTCAAGACCGGCAGGTGAGCCTCCTGGGGGAGCCCAGAACCTGGCAGTGGAGAGACCCTGAGGATGGGTGAGGGGAGGGCAGCTGGGAGAAATTTCAAGATGAGGGTTCGAGGACATTTGAAAGATAGGGAAGTGCCCTGGACTGAGAGCTGACCTCATCAGACCAGATTCCCCTGCCTCTCCATGGGCCCATACTTCTGCCTGGGAGCCAGTGGGGGCCTTGGAGGCAGGCAGCCCAGATGTGATGCACCTGGACCCTCAGGGCTGGTTCCTCACCTGACAGAGTGAGAGAGAGAGAGAGAGAGAGAGAGAGAGAGAGAGAGACTGATTGATTAGTAGCCCTATGCTTCATGTGCAGAGCCTGGCATGAGGGGCTACCTCTTCCTGCTACCTGTCTTCCTGGCCATCTGGGCTGCTGTTAGCATCTGGACCGTGTAAGTGTTATAGGCAAGATGATGCCCAGGAGGTGGGGGGGAGGGGGCTGGGGGCCTGGACCCCAGGGTCTGAGCCGGGAGGGGCTGGAGGCCTGGACTCCTGAGTCCGAGGGAGGTAGCAGTCTGGTTTCTATGAGTAACAAAAAGAAAAGTTCTCTTGAAAGCCGCTGCTTATTTGATGTCTTCCCCTCCTTCAGTTTTGCGATCGCCGTGGCCAACAGGTCTGTGAACCTTACGGAAGGCGTCCCCTATATCAGGTAGTGAGTGCGTTTGGAGGGGGGTTCCAGAGACAGGAAAGGGGGTGCTGGCGCAATGGAGCCACAGAATGACCCCTTATCTTCCCCAGTCTCTGTGGATCGTACCCCCCTCAGAGCTGCATCTTCAGCCAGCTGCTAAACATGGGAGCTGCTATGGGTAACTTTGCCTCAGACTTGCCCCTTCATGAAGGGCTGGGCGCGTCCCCCCAATCCCTACTCAGACCCAGGAGCCCAGGCCCCAGCCCCTTCTCCCCTAAGTCGTGTATTTGTCCTCCACCCCTGGGTCCCCAGTCTCTCCCACTTCACCACCTTTCCCCTACCCGGGTCCAGCCCGGATCTCCCGCTCACTTTCTCCTCCTCCCAGCTGCCTGGATCTGCATTCTCCGCTACCACCAGCTCCGGGATTGGGGCGTCAAAAAGTGGCTTAACCAGGTGATCCTGTGGTCGGGACTCCTCTGTGCCCTGGGCACCTCCGTGGTGGGCAATTTTCAGGTGAGACCGAGTGGGCCTCGGGAACCCAGCCCGGGATTTTGCCAGGCAGAGTCTGGGACTACAATTCCCAGGACCCTTCGGGGCCTCTGGCTACTTGTTTCGTAGTCTGGATCCCGCATAGCCTCCTGGGATCTGTATTTCTTTGTGGCTCTCCACCGGTAGGGGTGCGGAGTGACTTCTTAGGATGTGAAGGGAACGCCGCGGGGGAAACTCTTCTCCCCCACGCGCCCCCGGCAGGAGGAATGTATTTTCATTTTCTTCCCTGTTGGTTGACTTGCACACTAGAAAGTTGGACAATTCTTTGTCATCCTCCACACCTTTAATGATGAAATGAATCAGATTCATACATTCTTACGTTTGCCACATTGGTTGAGTTGCACTAGGTTATACGTTCTGCCCTATTTTTACTCATCTGAACAAGAACTCTTCGTGGGCCCTTCCTGGCCCAGTCCCACAGAGAGGCATTTTCATCAGCTGGTCCGTGGTGGTCAGATACGAGCCCAGAGTCACTGACTCCAGAACCCACATCCTTAACCATGAAGCTCAGTAGATCTTGGCAGAATAAACAAATGCCCGCGTGATAGGAGAAATCTCCCTGATTTATTCTATGTTATTTCATTTCACAATGATGACTCTGATCCCAAACCTCTCCTAGTGAAAGACTGGAGGCAGGCAAAACCTCAGGGGTTTCAGAGCAGCAGCTGCCCCCAACTTGCCAGCAGACACCCCCTATCATGCCTGCGTGTCCATTCATTCACTCATTCACTTACCCCTGGGCTCAGCCTTTCTCTTTCTTCATGACATCCCTCTTGAGGAGAAATGTTTAATTAATTCATTATTCAACGTATTGAGTTTTAGGGAGAGAAAGGGAGAGAGCGAGAAAGAGACATTGATTTATTTTTTCACTTCTTCATGCATTCATTAGTTGCTTCTTGCACATGCTCTGACTGGGCATTGAACGCACAAACTTGGCAAATTAGGATGCGGTTGTAACCACTGAGCTGCCTGGCCAGGACTGAAAAAAACTTTTAAAGATTTTATTTTATCTATTTATTTATTTATTTTTAAAGATTTCAATTTTTTAGAGAGAGGAGAAGGGAAGGAGAGAGGGAGAGAAACATCAGTGTGTGGTTGCCTCTCAAATGTCCCCTACTGGGGACCTGGCCCACAACCCAGACATATGCCCCCACTGGGAATGGAACCAGTGACCCTTTGGTTCACAGGCCGGCACTCAATCCACTGAGCCACACCAGCCGGGGCAAGACTGAAATTTTTAATATTTTAAAACATTACAAAAAATGAAATAGAATATTACCCTAGCATGTACATTATACCAGTAAACCACAAACCGCTGTTATTTCAGAACATTTTGTTATCTGAAAACCAGTTTTTATCCCGTTGGCAACAAAATCTGCTCTTCCACACCTGGGATGAGAATGAAAGATTTATTGCGCCAGTTTTTGTGAGCGTCCGCCCTGTGTCAGGCGCTGTGTTAGGGGGCTGAGGCCCCAGCAGTGGACAACAGATTTAAATGCCCGTCCTCACAGAGCTGACAACAGCCAACACATGTGATCCGTGAGCTGATGCCTGGGCACGGCAGTTGTCAGTTACTGTCCACGGGGTTGGTCAGCGGCCCGTCCTCCCCTCCTGGCCCTGGCCTCCCCACAGGTCTTCCCCTCAACTCTCCCCATTCCTCCTTCCAGCAAAAGAATCAGCAGGCCACCCACCTGACAGGGGCCTTCTTTGCCTTCTTCGTGGGCCATGCCTACTTCTGGCTGCAGCTCCTTCTCTCCTGGAGGATGAAGAAGAGCCTGCCCCAGCCCGGGACCCCTTGGATCAGGCCACTCCGCTTGGTCCTCTGCAGCCTCTGCACCATCCTCATGGTGACCAGTATCCTTATGTGGGTAGAGGTGGGAGTGGTTCTTCGTTGGAGTCGGTAGCTCTGTGCTAGTGTGAAGGCCCCTCCCCCCTTTCCTGGCCTCATTCCGACAGTCATCAGAGAGCGCTACCCTGGGGCCATGCTGCCTGGGTTGGAATCCCACCTTATTCACATGATAGCTGGGGGAAGCTCCCCTGTTTTTTGTTTTTTGGGTTTTTAAAAAAGATTTTACTTATTTATTTTTACAGAGGGAAAGAGAGGGAGAGAAACATCAATGGGTGGTTGCCTCTTGCATGCCCCTCAGTGGGGACCTGGCCAGCAACTCAGGCACGTGCCCTGACTAGGAATCGAACCGGCGACCCCTTGGTTCATAGGCCAGCACTCAATCCACTGAGCCACACCAGTGAGGGCTCTGCTGGCTTTCTTTTAAAACTTCTTGTTGCCTCAGATTCCTCATCTGTCAAATGCAGGTAATAACAGAGCCAGCCTGGGGTTGTGAGGAATGCAGATAACACATGTGAAGTGCTTAGATGGGTGCCTGGCACATAGTGAGTGATCAGTATGTATCGGGAGGATGCTGAACTAATCATTGGGGGTTCCCACTCTGTGCCAGGCATCATGCTTGCTAAGACTGGAAACTGAGGTTCAGACAGGGGTAATCTCTTGGCCTATACCCACCCACCATGGAGTTCAATGGCAGGGCTAGGGGTGGGCTTCAGACCCTTCTCACAGGCTCTCAAGGGCTGTCTGTGTGTATCTCTTTTCACCTCCACGTGTGATGATTTGTAGCTTGAAATGGGCGTGGTGGGAGTAATTATATCACAAGAAGTGACAAAGGCTACAAACCAGAGCTGGTTGTGGAACATCTGTCAGCACACCACTGGGTGGCACTTGAGTCTGAGTCAGCCCACAACCCAGCCAGGCACACCTCTGAGTGAGTCACCTCACCGTCTGAGCCTCAGTTTCCATGTCTGGAAAATGGAGTGGCTTTTTTTCATATTGATGATTGTCACTGCTAGGTCCAGGGCTCTGAGAGAGAGGAGGGGCTGTAGACTTGGCCTTGGGGACTGTGGGCCTCTGTGCGGAGGCTGATGGAAGGGAGGCTGAGAAGACACTGGCATTCTCGGGGCGGGAGGAAACCAAGCAGGTATCCTGTGCTGGCTGCATCAGGTGGGTCTGGTTCGTTTTCCAGAGCAGCAACCTGGTTTGCATGGAGTAGGTGGGAAGGGCTACTGCATCTGCAAACCAGCCTCTCTCCTCAGCTGGGCCCTGTTGGTGATGAGATCCAGCCCATCCCTTTCTAATGTCCCCACGGGCTGATAATTTGCAGAGTCCTCATTCTGTGGGGCTCAAATGTCCCTTCGCTGCAGGGAAAGGGGGCAGACCATAAAGATGGTCACAAAGATGGGTCTCTGAGCTGGTCTTGCAGAATCAGCTGTTTTGGGCCTAGATTGGGAGGTTTGAGGACACTGTGGGTGTGTGCATGCAAAGGTTGCAATAATCAGCTTGAGGGAGGAGGTTCCTGGCAGGCCCCCAAATGATCTCTGGCATGAAGGTGAGAGGTGAGAGGTTTGGGCTTCTGCCTTGGGGCAATAGGGAGCTATGGAAAGCTTGTGAGCGGGGGAGCAAGAAGGCCAGTCCTGGGGATAAGCGGTTTGTTTGGGTGCCCACATATCTCTTTTGCTCAAAGATCCATGGGGCCAGGGATGGTGTTGGACTTAGGGACTGCCTCCAAATCCCTTAAAAAAAGATTTTATTTATTTATTTTTAGACAGAGGGAAGGAGAAAGAGAGGGTGAGAAACATCAAGGTGTGGTTGCCTCTCATGCACCCCCTACTGGGGACCTGGCCTACAATCCAGGCATGTGCCCTGACTGGGAATCATACCGGCGACTCTTTGGTTTTCAGGTTGGAGCTCAATCCACTGAGCCGCACCAGCCAGGGCTGCCACCAAATTTTTGAATGAATGAAATAAAGTCTGATCTGATCTAGGAGGACTGAACTGAAGCCAGCTTAGCTGAGCAGAGGAGGAAGAGTGTACTTGTGAGGAGGGTTCCAGAAAAAAAAGAGAGGTGTCTCTGCTAGGCTGGAGCTTGGAATATGTATTCACCAGTAGTCAGGTGATGGTGTTAAGGAGCTGGATGGCCCCAGGGAGCTGAAGAGGGAACAGGGCAGGCCTGCCAAGGTGCAAGGCCAGAAAGAGACGAGCAAGGCAGATAGGACAAGACTTGGAGTGCCCAGCTGGCCATGGATATGACAGCGGTGGCCAGGGTGGTTTGAGGAACATGAGTGGATAGGAGGGCTGACATGGAGGTAGGGGTACCTAGAAAGAGGAAGATATTTGAAGGGAAAGATTCAATTTTGTGTGGGAGTGAGCAGGAGGAAGCTATGGGCCTGAGACTGGTGTGGGGCTGGGGGTAGGGTGTATTCTCTTTCTTTTTAAAATATTTTATTTATTTATTTATAATTTTCTTACATTTTTAAGATTTTAATTGTTCAAGTTATTTATTTTTAGAGAGGGGAAGGGAGAGAGAAAGAGAGGGTGAGAAACATCAATGTGTGGTTGCCTCTTGTATACTCCCTACTGGGGACCTGGCCCACACCCCAGGCATGTGCCCTGATCAGGAATGGAATTGGTGACCCTTTGGCTCGCAAGCCAACACTCAATCCCCTGAGCCACACCAGCCAGGGCGAGGGGGCAGGGTATATTCTCAGGAACCCCTGAGTGTTATGTTAGGAGGTAGAAGCAAGGTGCCTGGTTGTGTGGCCTGGGCCAATGGGGACGTGTTGGAGCCTTCACAAGGTCAGGGGAGGCTGATGGGAGGGTAAGAACCATGTGCCAGGTTGTTGGGGGAAGCCACATGAACAGAGGGCACATGCTGGGGAAATTGTTTGGGAAACTGTGTGAGACGCAGACAGGATTACTTTTTTGCCTTTGACTGTGTCGGGGAGCCATGGGGGGGGACCAGATTTAGAGGTCACACCAGTCAGGGCAGGGGGGAGCATATCCCAGGAGAGTCCCCAGACAAGCCCATCCATAGGGCACACGGTGGGCTCCCAGATCCTTCTCGTGCTGGTGCACCCTTGACCTTGGCGTCCAGTGGTCATCCTCCACACCAGCCGCCGACGCTCTGCTGCTGCCGTCTGCGAGTGGGCCGTCGCCATGCTGCTCTTTGTGCTCTTCGGCCTCTTGGCTGTGGACTTTTCCGAGCTACACCGCTGCACCCTGTGCCTCCAGTCGGGCCCCAGCCTCAGCCTTGCGCCCACCTCCCCGGTCTCCCCTGAGGCCCAGTCATCGTCCCAGCTCTTCTGACCCAGGTCTTGCCCTCGGGAGCAGAGGGAAAAGAAGCCAACCCTCCGGATCCCTCCACGACTCCCCAAGATGGGGATGAACCTTTGGGGACAGGCCTTCGGGGATGAACTGTCGAGAACAAACCGTCAGGGATGAACACTGAAGAACATGCCCTCTCTGCCCCACCGGGAACCTAGTGCAGTGTGGCGGGGCTGAAACCTGGTCCACTGGCATCTTTTGTGTCTTTCAGCCGCTGCCATCTGGCCCCACCCCCTGCACTCAGGGCCACCCAGGAAGCGAGAGGCCACGGCCAGCCATCCATCCCTGATCAAGGATATTTATTTTTGTTATTATTAATGTTTTGTTGTTGTTTGTTTGTTTGTTTTTTGCCGCTGGCGGAATCAGAGACAAGGACGCAGGCAGGATCACGCGAAACCAGAATTCCTTCCGGAGAGCAAATCCGTACAGAAGGCTGTGGGGGAGGGGGAGGACCAGGGTAGGGGGGCCCCAGAAGGGGGGGCTGGGGATGATACAAGGACAGATGGCCCTGTCCGTCCGGATCTGCTAAGCCACCCCAACCAGACCCCGTCCCTCCCCCACCCCATCCCGCAGAGAGATTGATCAATAAATAAAATAATAAATTAATCAATAAATAAAATAGAAAGAGCTCCCACCCCTAGTCCCCCCTAGAACCACCCTCCCCAACCCCATCGGGCACGGCCCCTGGAGCCCCATCCCTGCAGGGTGAGGCTAGGTTTGTTGTGTCTCCCCCTCCCTATGTAATCCTTGGGCCCTATTTACAGATTCACAGTTGGGGGGCAGGAAAGGGGGGTGGAGGGGGCTCCCCTCCTTCCCTGGCCCCCTGGGGTCAGGGCAGAGGGGTCCCATTGGTAGCCAGGAGTTTCTTGTCCTTAGGGGGGCCTCGGCGGGGAGAGCCGGTCAGCTCTGGGTCTGGGCGGCCGGGCGGGGGCTGCAGGCTTCGGGGTGGGGTACCAGCCGTCCGGGTCTGGGCCCCGTTCTTCTCGTCTGTGAGGAGGAAGCGGTCTGGCATGGGCTCCGGGGCCTCGGAGGCAGCGTGAAGGTTCCCGCTAGCCAGTGGCCCTAGGAGCCCCAAGACCGCCGAGCCCCAGGGAGGAACATACTCCAGCAGCATGCTGAGGCCCCGGCCCCCCACACAGTTGCCAGGGAGACACACGCTCGCCACCAGGCCACACATCCTAGCCCCCTCTGGCCCTGGTGGCTCTGGAAACCAGACCAAGTTTGTCAGAGTCAGACCTGGTCCTATGACTTCAGGAGACATTCCCAGAGACTCTGGTTATGACACTGTTTGCTAAGGGACAGCTTGTGTGGCGACATGTGAGATTCGAGGACCCCAGGTCACAGCCAGAAGGGTCCCTCTTTCGCTTTCACTACCCGGGTGGCTCGGGGGCTACCTCTTGGCCATGGGGCCAAGGAGTGCCTACCACAGGTCATTTGGGGGTCTCAGGCCCTCCCGGTTGGGCCTGCCTGACTGGAGTCATCTCTGTGTGGGGCCACACTTCCCTAGACTAGGGGACTGCAGTGTTCATGTAGCAATCTCCATAGGGCCCGGAACTGTCTGGGAGGTCCCCTAACAGGAACTGGCCCCCTTAAGAGTCACTGATTGCTAGAGTCCTTGTTTCTTAGCAACCAATACTGCATGGCTCTCGGCTCTCCCCTCCCCTCTTTAGGCAGAACTGGAGGTGGCCCCCTGCCCCCTAAAGCCTGTGGTTAAGGCCCCAGGTGCCTGTTGGTCCTACATCGCCCAGGGTGTGCCCTTTTGGGAGCCCTGGTTGCTAAGGCCAACCTTCTTTGGCAACTGGGTCTAGAAATGTTCAGGGGACCAAACTTGAAGTCTGGTTGTGCTAGGGGGGAGACACACAGGAACAAGGTTATCTGGGTGGGTCGCTAAAAGAACCCTTCCCAGGTGAGGTCAGAGTCGGAAGGAGGTGACCTTCAAGGAGGCACCGGGTAGCTGGTTGTGAAGATGGGAGATAAGCAAAGGAATGTGGGCCTGAGGCCTCTGGGAAGGCAGCAGCGGACACGCCCATGCCCCAGCCTCCAGGAGGGAGCGTGATCTGGCCCTCTGGACACCTGGATACTAGCCTTGTCATTTCTAACCTTGGTGGAATGGGCCACAAGTCTGGAACAGGGCCCACTGCTTCTGAGCAGACTTGACCCTGGGAGTGGGTCTTCTCCAGGGACAAGGCCACCCAGGCTCCTCCTGCCCTCCTGGCTCAGTCCTATTTGCCTGCTCTGTTTCCCCTGGGCGAACGAAACAGATTCATTCTATTTCCCACCCTATCTTGGGAGCAGGGCTGAGCAGGACTCCTTTCACTTAGGAGTTCTGGTTATCCCTGGTTGCTAGGGAAGCCTGCTCCCTGATGACAAGGCTAGCATCCAGGAAGCACCATCCCTTGAAGCACAGAGCACACACTCCCAGGTGAGGCTACATCCTTGACAGGCAGCCCAGCAGGGCAAGAAAGGGCCCCAGCTTCTGCAGGGACCTGCTCTCAGCTCTGCAGGTGAAGCCTCAAAGCAACAACAGGCGGGCCTTGCTACCCCACAGCCACAGCCTCACCTGCAAGCCAAACGCTGCAGCACTTGGTCAGCAGGAAGTCTCCCCTCCACCCCACAGGACAGAAGGTGAGACAGCCCCACATCCAGTACGCCCTGCCTCCCACCTGCCAGGGCCTGCACGGAGGGCTGGTCGTGAGTGCTCAGTAGCTGTGCCTGGATGGTCTCCACGACGCGCTTGAATCGCCGGCTGGGACCTGGAAGGGGCAGGGAAGCAGAAGGACTTGGGGACTCACAGGAACGGGGAAGGACCTCCCGCCCTGTGGAACCCGGTCCCTCCATGCAGCAAAGGACTCTCATTCTCCTGGTCTCAACGTCCCCACCTCTGTTGGGACCACACATCAATCCATGGTTTGCAGATGGAGCTAAGAAATGTTGGATTGACAATTACAATGGGTGTTGTTTTCTATTTAAATACATTCTGTTACTTGCTAGTTTGTAGTGGAGCCCCTGAAGAGCCAGAAATGTAAGAAAAAATAAGGAAAGGAAAAAAAGATCTTAAAATGAAGAGCCTTCTGCCTATTAGTCTCTAAGGAAGTAAAGCAAGAGACATAATTCCTTTTGGTGATGTAACACTCCCATGTCCCACTACAGCCTGGCTTAGAACCTCTAGGAGCAACTCCCAGTTGTGACACAATGAGACTGGTGACAAGGACAGCAAACAGAAGTGTCCCTCCTTCTACAAACTCTTGTTATCAGAACTCAAAAGCCAAGTAGAATCAGAAATGATACATTTCTGTGGTTCTCATCTCTTGTGCCAACTCTTGATTGGTCGAGGCTGCTTCGAGTTTGAGACTGTGGCTGAGCTTGCAGGAAGTGCTGTGATTGATTGGTGATTGTCTGCTCTGGGTGCAGAGGTGGGGGGTGTGGCCTGGTAGCAGCCCCCAGTCTTTGCTCTTGTTATATACAACTTAAAGTTGGAGGAAGAGCTCTGCACTGCGAGGTTAGGAGGCCTACGCTGAGCCCACCTCTGTCACGGTGTGCAGTGTGACAGAGTCCATTTACCTCTTTAGAACACAGTTTTCCTCTCCAGTGGGTGATTGCTAACACACCAAAGGAAATAGTGGGGGGAAAGCACTAAGCACGTTGTAAACACTGTGCTATGAAGTTAAATGTGGATGAGAAAAGGGGGAAGGAGAAGATGCGGGGGTCTAAGTGAGGAGGGAGCTCACACGGTCAAGCCCAGCTGAGCTCTCTCTCCTCCTCCTCCATGCAGCACTGCTGGGCTGTGATCCGATTGCAGCCGTCGTGAGCATCCTAAACACCGGGCTGGGGGCCAGTCTAGTTCGGGAAACTTACCAGAGATGAGAGTAAAGGTGACAGAGTAGATGCCTCCGCTGCCGCCACCGCCATCCCTTCGCGGGGAGGGCTCTGGCCCCTCGGAGGAGCTGATGTCCACCTGGAAGCGGACAGGCTTCTGGAAGACGGAGGGGCCGCCACTGGCCTTGTACTCGGCCCTGAAGCTGGTCTGTGACAGCACACTGTGACTCAGGCTGGGGATCTGAGAGAGGCAGGGAACACAAAGAGTGGGTGACTCCAGTGACCTGGCTGCAGGGGGAACGGATAGTCAACCTTACAGCTGCCTTTGCTCAATGAACTACAAGTCCCATCAGCCACTGGGGCAAAGTAGAAGCCAAGGCAGCGGAATGCCCCATTGCCCGCTGGGATTTGTAGTTTCCCCATCATACTACGAACAGGTTGTATAGGATAAGTGGCTGAGCAACTGATTCCCAAAGTAATTGTAGGGAGGTGTCACCTCACCAGTCCTCAGAGGACACTAGTATGTGGGGAAATGTAACTCAGGATCCTATTTTACCACTTCCAGGCCCCAAGGCACAACAAATCTCTCCTGCCTCCCTGCCATTGCAATGACCAAACCCAAATTCTGGCAGGAAAACTACTAATCCCATGAATCCCGAGAGGAAGTCAGGCCCGTGCCAAAGCGGTGAATCCTAGGGGCTCCTGATAACTGCCTTTCTGTGGTGGCCAGGGGGGGCGTGCGGACCCAGGCCCCTTACCGACAGGAAGGCATGGACGATGTCCGCTTTGATACTACTGAGCGGTTTGTCCTTTAGCACGAGGAATATTTGTTCTTCTTTGTCCAGGGAGATGAAGTTTCCGAACCAGGAGCGTTTTGCCAGCCTGATCAGGAGGGAATGGTTGGGGAGGAGGGTCAGGAGGGGGCTAAGAGAATGAAAACCCCTCTCCATCCCTTCTTTTCCTTTTTCTGTGGCACTCACTCTGGAGAGGACTCCGGTGTCAAGCTGGACATCTCCTCGGCGGTGGGGACTGGGGAGGGGAGAGCATGGTCAACACTAGTCCTTCATCCTCGTCAGCAGCACACAGGTCAGCAGTTGCATCCGACCAGGGGGTCCGGACCCAGTGCCTATTCACCCAGCCCAGGAGCTAAACCCCAAAGGGCAAGCAGCCTAGTAGTCTCCGTGGGGATGCTACCAGCCCATTATGCCACGCCCTCTGGGGGGCCTGGCATGAGCCAATACGCAGGTGAGTCAAAATCTGAATGGGCGTGCCCTTTAGAGCCCACTTTGTCTACCAAACACCTGCATCTCTGCTCATGACCCCATCTTATCCTAGGATGTGGGAATGCGGGACCCTGCCCCTTGCTCTGGGATCCCAGATTTTAGCTCCCAAACGCCTTCCTCCATTAGGGCCCAGGAGTCTACCTCCCAGCCCCTGCGCCACCATGGACCCCGTACCCTGCATCTTGCGCCGGTGAAAGCGAGGGGAGCCCAGGAAG